CTGGCTAAAAATACAACCCAAGTGTCGCTGGGTAATAACAAAGCACACAGGAAAAACCCTAACATTTGTTGAGCAGAATGCAATAGACTGTCAATTAGCTAAGTGCTTGGTATGCAAACACTCTCTGTGCTTAAGTCACCCAGAGGGAAGAGGAAACAGAATTACCAGAGGATTAGGGGCAGTTCCCTCCGAGGAAAGTGCCAGAGCCAGAGTTCAGGACCCAGCAGACCAGTCAGAATCACACAGTTACCATTCAGGTCCACCAGAGGCACCAGTAGCCTGATTGGTTCACACAGAGATGATACTGAGTGTGTGTGTGTGTGTGTGTGTGTGTGTGTGTGTGTGTGTGTGTGTGTGTGTGTTCATTCCCTGGATCCTCCAGCAGCCACCACAGTTGGAATGTCTCCTTTGAGTCTGCTGTAGGTAATTGCAACTCTAAACCCCAGCTCCAGGGAACAGAATCTGCTAGAAGCAGAGTGTTAAAATTTCCAAAGGAATGGGGATAGACATCAGGTTAGGGTCTAGCACACATCCTATGCAGGGAAGCTAAAATTCAGCTAAAAAACAGCCAGCCAGGCGGTGGTGACACATGCCTTTAATCCCAGCACTCTGGACGCAGAGCCAGGCGGGTCTTTGTGAGTTCGAGGCCAGCCTTGTCTACAGAGCGAGATCCAGGACAGGCACCAAAACCACACAGAGAAAACCTGTCTCAAAAAACCAAAAAAAAAAAAAAAAGCAGCTAGAACTAAAAAGGCAGCTAGAACTGGATAATTTAGCATCTGACTATCGACCTCAGAGAGTAGCTGACTGAGTAACAGTGGTGGGTGCCAGTCCAGGGGGTGAGTTCAGTCCTTCATTCTAATTCTTTGAAGCATAAAGCAGCCCCCGCAGAAGGCAGTTCGTTCAGTTTCAGAACAGATTTGGACTTGGTTTCCAAGTCCTAAGACAGTAAATCAGTGGCCAGGAACAGCAGGTGTGGCTGTGATCCCAGCACATGGGATGCTGAAGTGGGAAGCCTCCTCTTAAGGCGGAGGCTAGTTAGAGATATATAGAGGAGACCCTCCCTCATTAAAAACCAAACATGAAAGTAAATTTAAAAGTTACGTATTTTTGCAGTGATGGGGATTGGATGCAGGGCTTCACCCATGCCAGGCACACGCTCCACCACTGAACTACATTTACATCCCCCCTCTTTTGTTTGTTGTTATATTGTCTTTTAACTTTATTTATTTTGCAAAGTAGCAAGGAACCACGTTATTCAAAAGCAAAGTGGTAATACAGATAAGAAAACACTGCGAGTGAGGAGCAGGCCACCTGAGTAAGAAAATAAATTTAATATTCCTTTTAAATTTATTTATTTAGCCAGACAGAGGCTGGTGGATCTTTGTGAGGCCAGCCTGGTCTACAAATCAAGTTCCAGGACAGCCAATGCTGTTACACAGAGAAATTTGTCTCAAAAAAAAAATCACCTAATAAATAAAATTTTAAAATTAATAATAATAATAATAAATGATTTATTTAAGTTTTTTTGAGACAAAGTCTCACTGTAGATTCATGACTGACCTAGAACTTGCTCTGTAGACCAGGCTAGCCTCAAACTCACAGAGACCTGCCTGCCTCTGTCTCTTGAGTGCTGGGATTAAATGTGGGCACCACTATGCCCAACTTGTTTTGATTTTTGAGACAAGGTTTCATTAATCCCAGGCTGGCCTCAAATCCACTGGGTAGTAGATGAGAAAGCTTTTATTTTGATAGGCTGGTATTTATTTAAGTGTGTTTTAGAAGAAATGAAATTTGCCATACCACTGGCCTGTGGTTCCACAGATGATGTTCACGGTTTCCTGCTCACGACAGTGACACAAACATTTCATTTTGAACACTTATGGAAAAATTAGTTTATTCAAGGACAAGTATTGAGTGATAATGCAAGAGAAATGAAGACAGACTAATAACAACCTGAGAATTGTGCAGCTCTTCCTCAGGCCAGGGGACCAGGTGGGTGGATGGCCAATGGGAACTCAGAATGCCGGACAGTCAGTTTCAGCGGCCACCGAGCCTAGAAGACAGCCGTCTCTGTCTGGGCCTCCATATCCTCATCTGTGAAATGCAGGAAAGGCGTCCTCAGCTTTGGGAGTTGGTGCTTCCAGACCTTTCCACGCTGTTGAGAGCACACAGTGAGGCCAGGCACCGTGTTGGAAGCTGTCAATACATCTCTGTTCTTAATCCTTCTAAGAGCCCTGAACGGTATGGGCTGACACTGGGGACTTGACGTGGCTGACCCAGCGTCTTGAAGAGTCCCATTTGGTTGGATTGAGATCTGAGGCCTGCTGCTGGCCTGTCCCTCTAATCACCGCTGTGTCCCGGGTCTTCATTCACGTTGCTCTCCAAGACCATGTTTCAAGACCATGTTCACCTCTTTTTTAAAATATTAAAGATTGGCTCATTTTATTTTCGGTGTATGAGTATTCTGTCTTCATGTCTGTATGTGTGTTTAGTCCATGCTTGCCCACAGAGGTCAGGAGAGAATGTTGGATTCCCCTGGAACTGGAGTTACGGATGGTTGTGAGGTACCATGAGAGCGCTGGGAATCAAATTCAGGCCCTCTGCAAGAGCAACTAGTGCTCTTCGCCTCCCCCCCCCCCCCCCCCCCCCCCCCCCCGCCCCCAGACAGGGTTTTTTTTTTTTTTTTATAACAGCCCTGGCTGTCCTGGTACTCCCTTTGGAGACCAGGCTGGCCTCAGACTCACAGAGATTCACCTGCCTCTGCCTCCCAAGTGCTGGGATTAAACGCATGTGCCACCATTACCCAGCTTTTTTTGTGGGGGGCGGGAGGGCGGGGAACAACAGGTGCTCTTAAAGTGTTGAGCCAACTTTCCAGCACCCGTAACTCATCTTTTCTCCTTAAGGTTTTGTTTGGTCCTGACTTCACATTGTAAGCATGACCCCTGCCATGAAGCCATACCCCATCCCCTTCCCTTAGTTTTAATCCTTTTTCTCCCCCTGCCCCCGGGTCTCACTGTGTAGCCCTGGCTGTCCTGGAACTCACTCTGTAGACCAGGCTGGCCTCGAACTCACGGAGTCTCATCTGCCTTTGTCTCCCGAGTGCTGGGATTAAGGTGTGCTCCTCTCTTATTTTTCTATCTTCAGTGGGTTTTCTTTTTTTTTTTTTGAGGCGGGGGAGGGGGGAGTTGCCTTTGTATACCCAGCAGCTGGCATAGTTCTGGGCATAGAATAATCAACAAATGGGTGGAGAGAGAGCAAGTGTGAAGGAGGGAAAGACAAAAAAGGACTCAGAAGGAAAACATGCTGCTCCCTTATCGTATTGAACACCAGGGGAGCAAGCTGAAGAGGCAGGGCAGCAAGGTCCTGAAAGACAGGGCCAGCCTCTCAGTCCAGCTGCCTATCTTTGCCTCTGAGGATGCTATCCTAGTTAGCTTTAACCGTCAAATGACGTAATCACTGGAGGAGGGCCCACTTGAGGAACTGCCCAGGTCAGGTTGGTCTGTGGGCGTGTCTGGGGGGGGGGAATTGTCTTGGTTGTTCATTGATATCGGAGGACCCAGCTCACTGTGGGTGGCACCATTCCCTAGACAGGTGGTCCTGGACTGTATAAGAAAGCTAGCTAAGCCTGAGTTGATCCAGTAAAGCTTCACTCTTCTCTGGTCTCTGCTGTACTTCCTTGGCTGTGTATGGGTTCCTTGGTAATGCTATGGAACAGCAAGCATCCCTGGCCTCAAGTTCCTTCCCGTCACTCAATGATGGACTGTGACTTATAAGCTAAAATAAACCCTTTCTTCTCCTCCATTGCTTTTGGTTAGTGTTGTATCACAGCAAGGAGTGAAATGTGAAGAGGTGTGACATAGGGCATGGGCTTAGTTCCTGTCCTTCTGGGACTTCTTCTGTAGATGGAGGCCTCAACAGTACTGGCTTTGAAGGATGCTTTTAAAGAGATTTTATCATGTGTGATATACGTAGGACAGTACCTAAGATATGGCAAGCAAAGGCTTAGTATATATTAGTTATTGCTTTTATTTCTGGGAAATAAAGTGGAGAATGTATCCCTATCAGGAAAAAATACAAGATGCTATATGTCAAAAAGAGCTCTGCTATCCTTCCAGTTCCAGCTGACGGCCAAGGCCAGGGGCATCACAGGCTACAACATGCAATGTCCTCACCTTTTCAGTCCCCTGGCAGCAGCATTAGGTATCCATTTCTACCCTCAGAACACAGAGATATCAATCTAAAAGAATCACAGTGTAGCCAGGTAGGGTGACGCTGGTATGTTCTCTCAGCACTCAGATGCTGATTGGGAGGATGGCAAACCCAAGGCCAAGCTTCGTGGAAAGGCCTGGTCTCCAACAAACAAAAACAACAGCAGGCCAGGTGTGGTGGTGGCGCACGCCTTTAATCCCAGCACTCAGGAGGCCAGAGGCAGGTGGATCTTTGTGCGTTGGAGACCAGCCTGGTCTACAGAACTAGTTCCAGGACAGCCAGGGCTACACAGAGAAACCCTGTCTCAAAATCATGCCTCCCCCCACAAAAAAAAAATGACAGCAGAAATTTATTCAATGTTTGGTGAATGAATATAGCACAGCAGATGTATTTATATATGGAAAATAAAAATGTGTACTAACAAGTAAGACCATGGTTCTGAAAAGAGATTAATTATTGTACATAGGAAAAGGCAGTGAAATTGTAGTTTTGAGCCTTAGCTCTGTCTCTTCTGAAATCATAGGACACTATTTAAACTCTTTAAACTGAAGTTTCTCACCAGTGAAATGGGAATAATATTAGTTGGCAAGCCTAAGTCAGATCATTCAGGTAAGTGTTGGGTATCCATTATGAGTTCACAGAGTGTCTCATCATCTGGCCAGCATCTTCAGCATCATCATCAAAGGCTTTGTGATGGATACACTTACTGCCTGGACGGCTGGGCACAGGGAAGAATACTGGGTAACCAAAGGTACTGGATGTGCTGGAAAGATCCAAGGAGAAACAGGGAGGCCAAGTGGTGCTGTTTGACTGGAATGGGAGAGAACACCGGGAAGCTGACATTACCCGCTGGACCAAGGTCAGTCTTTCTTCCACAGGCGTGAGGAGACTTTCTAGGATTCTAAACCGGGTGGTGGTGGTTCAGTGCCAGCAACAGGAGAAATCTTGTAGCTATTTGTGCAGGATGGGCTGGGAGAGCGATCGATCGGAAATACAGGAGACTGAAGCTCTCCTGAGGTTTCCCCATACTTTCTAACAAAGCGGTGGGCAAGGTAGAGGTGGATGAGGAGAACCAAGACTGGCAGGAGGACAATGGCAAGAGAGAGCCTGTGGGGTGAAGAGCTGCCTGCCAGGCGTGGTGGCACCTGCCCTTAGTCCCAGCACTCTGGAGGCAGCAGCCAGCCTGCTCTACAGAGTGAGTTCCAGGCAAGGCAAGGCTGTGCCTAGTGAGACCCTGCATAAAACAGAAAAGAAAGAGGAGGAAGAAAGAGCCAGGGGAAAGCCGGGCCTGGTGGCACAGCCTGGAGTCCTGTCCTAGCTGTTTTGGAAGCTGAGTCAGGAGGGCTGCAAACTCAAGGCCTCCTTGGCTACGGAGTAAATCCAAGGCCAGTCTGGGCAATGTAGTGAGAGACCTGTCTCAAAATAAAAAATCCCAAAAAACAAACAAAAACCCGTGTCATGAAAAAAAAAATGGACCTGGGGTGTAGCTCAGTATAAGGGTGCTTGCTCAGCATGTGCAAAGCCCTGGGTTCAAGCTTAAGCTCCACAAAATGTATATTTCCTGTCCATCCCCCAAACAATATCAAGGTCATCTCTCCTAAGACTTTTTTTTTTTTTTTTTTTTTTTTTTTTTTCTCGACAGGGTTTCTCTGTGTAGCTTTGCGCCTTTCCTGGAACTCACTTGTAGACCAGGCTGGCCTTGAACTCACAGAGATCCACCTGCCTCTGCCTCCCCAGTGCTGGGATT